TTTATTTTTCTATTTACTAATGTTAAAAATTAAGTTTTGGTAAATCGAAAAAAAATATCGGAGTCGAACTTGTAACTGACTCCAACCCCGAACCCGAAAACTTTTTTCAGCAAGCCCGACTCCGACTCCGACTCCGACGGGGTCGGAGTCGGAGTCGGAATCGGATTTCGGAGTCCTCCGCAGGTCTCTAGTACAAAGTCCTGAATAAAATGAGAGGTTGCTACATTTTCTACGATTTTCTCTTGAAAATTGACTTTTCAGTCAGAAACCTTCTTATCATAGTTCATCTATGGAATTTCAATATGAAGTACATTTAGTAGAGAACTTCAATAGCTATTCAAACCACTATTTAAATTTAATTTGAATGCTTGATATCACAGAAACAAAATAAAAAATACGTTGGTCTTATATTTTTTTACTAGTACTGTGTATTTCAAAGTATATCCATATCTCTTAAAATACATATTCAGTTTTCGTTTTTTTTTATTGAATTAATCATATATACATGAAACTATGTCATATATTATATAGATTTGTTTAAATCAAATCTTTTCTTTCTTGTTTTCGAAGTTTTTCTAATTGTTCAAGTAATTCATTTGATGGTAAACATGTTGTAGGATTAAATTGATATTGATTATTAGATAACATTGAATGATGAGCAAATGGAAATAATTCAGGTTTTTTTAATAATGTATAACGAAATTCAATTAAATTTACTAAACCTATTTCATAATATTCACCATGAACTTGAATAAAACCAATTTCAATAAAATTTTGTTCATTATTATTATTAATTATATCATTTTCTTGATAACGTAATCGAACATAACGATTTATAAGAATATTTGATCGATGAATTCGTTTAATTTCTTTCATATTTATTAGATCATTAATAGAATGTTTTTCTTGAATATTCATCCATAATCGATGAATATAAACAGTTTTACCATTAAGAATAGGTGTTTCAGGTCGTTGACGATTTGATAATTGAACAAGAGCCATTAGTGGATTTCCATATTGACTCGTAGAATTAAATGCTTCAGTTAAATAAATAGAATAAGTTGGTTTAATTGATATTAAGCGAATTTCATTTGTACAGGATATAAAATAAGAACATTGAATCCAACCATAACAAAGATGATAATTTGTTATAAGATGATTAAGATGTTGTCGAAAACGAGTATAAATTAGAGTCTGTTGTTCAATTGAGATTTGTCGACTTGGACATACAATGATTGGCATAATCGCTAATGGTTTTTCAGCAAGAAATGGCCTATAGAAAACTTAGAAGGACATTTTTGAAACCATGTTGGCATATATTTATTCATATTGATATTAAAAAAATGTATTTTAGAGTATGATAATCTTGAGGATACGAATCACTGTAGATCTTAGAGATATTTCAATAGGCTAGGCTGGGTCGAAGAAAGCCGGCACAGCATACGATCTTTTTTCTTAAAAAATGACCCATCCATCTAATAGAATATGGAAATATAGTTGTTGTTGTTGTGGTTCAAATGAAATTTGAAACGTTCAAATGTATACTGTTTCGTATGTAACGGTGAAGTAATTGTCCTGATAGTAGAAGAAAAAATGTTAACTAAAATTGATGAGATTGAAAAGTTTTACTAAGAATAAAATTAGAATTAGAAAGGGTACTTGATAATATTGTTATAATTATTGATGAACGAGGAGAAGTTAGTTTTTGTTGAATGTAAAGAAAATTTTTTAAGATGATAACCATTTTATCTTTTTATATTTACTGACTGTGTGACAGATTCATAGTCTGTGTGCCACGGTAGGTCATAAGAGATGTGCGAAAATTAATTAGAAGTTGGTTCGAAGTCAAATGTAGCACATATATATATATATATACGTCTTGTGTCCTCAAAGGATTAATCAATCGTTGTATATTTTTACAGAAAAACTATCCTTCTTAGGAAAAAAAAAGAATTTTCTCTTTAACGAATTATTAAAATTTATCATAATAGAATGAATATAGAAATTTTACCATCCAGAATAACCATCAACTAGAGGCCACATGATAATCTCTTTTTCATATATACATGCACTAGCAATAACAAGACGCCAATGTGGATATGTAACAAGATCAAAAAAAGGTTGAATAAGATAACTTGGTTTAAAAATAAATGGATATTGTTTAATTGATATATAAACACGAAAAAATGGTAAAAGACTTGTCATAAATTGTTGTTTATAACATTCAATATAAGTATTAATAATTTCTATATGATTTTTCCAATTTGAAAAACGGAAACTCGACAATTGATTATCAAAACTATATAAGGATTTCATATAACCATTAATATTATTATTCGATAAAAATGTTTCTACAATTTCAAAATTTCGTTTCCAATCGTCTATTATATCAATACATAATGTTGGTATACATTGATCGATACCAAATAATTCTATTATTAAAAATCGATTTATACATTGAAGTGTATGAAAAAAATTCATTCCACCATTATTTATTCGTGGATATTCTTGACATAATTTAGCTACTATTAATTGACCTATATAACTATCAGTAATAAGCATTTGTATATGTTCTTCATTGATTAAACTTCTACACATTGATAATAAAAAATTAAAATCTAATGTTGTAAATTTTTTATTAATAGTATATACTTGATATTTGACATATTTATCATGTGTTATCAATCTATCAAGTACTAAATCAAAATGATTTTCATAATATGGAGGAATATAAAGAATTCGAATTGATTTCGATAATGAAATACGATTCATGTTTTTTATTATGTTTGATCTTTATGAATCATTTTTCTTTCTAATTAACATTGATTCTATCATAATGTTTAGTTTAATAAAAATAAATATTTGATCAAAATGGATTTAATGTTAAATATGCCTTTTCGTATCGTTTTAGTATACAAAAAAGCTTTTTTTTTTTGACAATGAGAAATCTCATAAAACTAGTTTTTCGATGTGATCGAATAGAATGGAATTAAAATTTTTAAATATCCTTATAAACCGAACTTCATTTCATTGAAAACACATGATAACGATATATTGCTTTTCTCTTGTGACAATAAAAAATTTCTTCTTTCTACTCTTGATTCTATTTCAAATAGTCATTGAAGCCAAGCAATCATTGTGTATCAAAAAGAACGTTCTTTTTCTATGCTTTGAAATCATATATATTTTCTTTTTTTTTTTCATGTCACTGTTTGTTCTCTTTTTTCTTCTCGCTTCTTTATACTTATGCACAAGTTGCTAGTTACGAAAAGCACATTAGCGACCAGACCATATTTCTTTTTTTTCTTCTCTCTTTATGTAATTTGATCAATCTTGTCACATACATACTCTATCAATGAGCTTTTGGTGTCACGATAGACAACAAGAAGTAATCGATGAATCGGTAAAAAATTTCTTAAAAATATATAAGTCTTATCTTTTTTTTATGAGATGCATTTTGCGCTATATATATGTTAGAATTCTTATTATATTTTTCCTTAATAAACTGCAGATCTTTACTTTTTTTTTCTTCCTATTTTACACGTGTCCCATCTCTTTCATTTTTTCTTTCTCCAGTGTGCATGAACCAACAAAAGCATCTATTGCGTGGCTTTTTTTTTTCTTTTGCTTTTTTTCTTCTTATTCTAAACTAACAGTTTTCCATCCACGACTCTCACTTTATTACATTAAAAAAAAAACATAACCCATTAAATCTGCTTGTATGTTTTGCTTCTATTAAATGTTTGTAGATGTTATTTGATTTGAACATTTGAACTATTTTAACATTCAACACACACAAATAACGTGCTTCTTCTCTGATCTTTATACGCAGAATGTCAATCAACAATGGTTATGCACTTAACAACAATGATAAAAATATAAATGATGATGAGTTAACAACATCTCTTGTATGCATTTTTTTTCTAAAGTTTTTTTTTCTTCTTGTTTTTGAACAATCGAAATAATATTCCACTTTTATTTATTTTTTCTATAGATTAAAATCGATCCACCAGCATCATATCCATCAAATAAACGTCCAATGGCATCACTACCAAATAATATGATACAAGAACATATTCGTGTTGTAGCAGGTTGTGCATCGAATATTTTCTCATCTATAGGCATTATATTTCTTAATAAATATATATTTTCTCATTGTCAAATAAAAACGATGACATTAACGGCTATACAAATGGCAATTACATCATTAGGTCTTGTTATATGTTTACAAATGAATACATTTGTACGTAAACCAGTATCAATAATAAAAGTTTTACCATTAGCATTAGCATTTTGTGCTTTTGTTGTATTTACAAATTTATCATTAGAACATAATACAATAGGTACATATCAGTTATTTAAAGTTTTAACAACGCCCGTTGTTGCATTTCTATCATGGCAATGTTATAAAGAAAAATTTTCACGTATGGTTATAGCGACATTAATACCAGTTGTTGTTGGTGTATGTACACATTCAGTTAATGATATTAAACTAACATTAATAGGTACAATAATAGCATCAATTGGTGTTATGGCAGCATCACTTTATCAAGTATGGGTTGGTGCACGTTTAAAAGATTTAGAAATGAATTCTCAACAATTACTTTATTATCAAGCACCATTATCAGCAATAATACTTCTACCATGTATATTACTTATGGAAAGTTTTCCATCGTATGAAACAGATGAAGAACAACGAAGAGCAATAATGGCTGTTGTAGCTTCGAGTATTGTGGCATTTGTTGTTAATTTATCAGTTTATTGGGTTATTAAAAATACGTAAGTAAAATTGATTTGTTCCTATGTGATTATTACCGGCGGTTGTCTTTGTCTAAAAGTGTTGTATCAAAACAGATGAATATTTTTGAAATCTGTTAAAACCAGCAGGCTTGATTTCGATACACTCTAAAAAATGCCTATGTGTCTGAACTGTTTGTACTAGCCATAGAGTCCAAATTGATCTTCGTTATGAGATAAATTTTTATTAGTAAAATATATTCTGAAAATATTTTCTTCTCTATTAATTTGAATTCTTTGTGATAAATAATTCAAATTTCAGTAGAAAACATTCTCTGAAATTTTTTATAGCTGAAACTGAAAGTCGTAAGTGCCATCATTGGTAGTATGAATAAACATGCTAAATTGAGTTTTTTCTTGACTTAGATTCAATTTAATGCTTTAGATACATATTTATATTTAGATCACCATTGACTTATAATATGATTGGTCATATGAAAACAATTTCAATTCTTCTTGGTGGTTTTCTTCTTTTTGAAGATAGTCTTAATTTTAAACAATTTATTGGTATTTTACTTACATTATTCGGTTTATTTTCTTACACATTTGTTCGCATGGGTGAACTAAATCAATTACCATGTACTCGTTGGAATACAAATCCGTCAGTCAATAATGTTTAAAAAATAAATAAAAGTGAAAAGAGGCAAAAATAAAAAATCTTTCAGTGATAAATTTATGTTTGTTTTTGTTGTTTATTCTCTCAGTCTCATTTTTTTCTCTTTATATTTGTTTAAACATTTGATTTTTTTTTTATTTATACAATCTTTAAAAAAAATTCTATTTCTTTCGTTGAGTTGATATATATAAAACATTATTGCCTCGAATAAATGCATCGCCATATTTGTTTTTAAGTTGTCCACCATTATATTCTTCTGTTTGTTCTAATGCAATATTCATATAACCATCAAGACATGCTAATACACCACGATAATCTAAACATTATTAAAATATGATTTGAAGTTTAAATGAGAAGTAAAAAAATGAAAGAATTTTATTGAATCTATTTTGAAGGTAAATGTACTGACTCAAAATCCAATCATATCAGGCAAGGTCATAGAATAAGCTTATTCTATCAATATCTCTGTGTCGCATCAATTTGAATTTGTTAAATTTAAGTTTGATAAAGGAATCAAAGTTTTAATTTGAGCAAAAGAAATTAGAGATTCAAGCAAGCCACAATGTCTGTTAGACACAGGCACCAATTTTTGAATTTCTAATCTCTCACACTCCATACGATCCAGTCTAAGAACTCATGCAAACTGCTTCCAAAATACAAATTTTTATTTGTCTTGTTCTTTTTTTTTATTTTCAATAATAACTTCAGTTTGTGAGCAGAACAACTCACTGTTAAAATAAAAAGTGTAGTCTCTTTTTCGTTGCATGACAGGAAGTGTTTTTTTCTGATGATTTTGATTGCGCCCAACTTAGAGTAAGTATAGATAATGATTATATTGTTCATTATACGTTGATTGATCCAGTTTGTCTATTCATTTCACTAAGTTACTGTTCACACATTCTTATCGATTATTTTACATGAATGGTTGACTAATTTTTATTGTTTCATGATGTATATTTATGTCATTGTAATATGACAAGACTCGGCATGTCAGTCTCAATTAATTCATCGAATTACTTCAAAACATTATTAGTTAAAAACAGACTCTTTATGAAAATGTTAATATTTTTTTTTTCCTTTTCTTTTTGTTGATTATTCTCGATCAATACATACGTGCTGTATCAAATCAACAGACGTTTTGAATAGTCATGTTGTGTCAGTGTACATTGCTGCTTCGCCTTCTCTTAAAGACAATTCTCTCTTTTCATTTAACTACAATTACAATACTTCTATATAAAAATAAAATAACCTACATACGCTACCATCGGCAGGTGAGACCGATGAAAAGTAGGCGTGTTTTGACGCCGGATAGGAACTCAAAGTAGAATAAAAGAGAACAGACGAAGAATTCATCCTTGAATGAAACGTCATTACTTTCTCTTTTACGACTTTGAAAACTTTCGAGGAAGAATTGCTTTAGAAGGAATAACAGAATTAAAAGTAAAAATGTCTGACATTAATAAATAACAGATCATATTATCAAGGTGCAGCTAAAATATATTATTATGGCTGCATAGAAAAAATATATTCTACTAAGCTATTAAGATCTTCATTTCATAAATAAAGTTTCTATTTCATTTTATACATAGTCTTATTTTATTATTTTCTAATATGACTAATTTATCCACTGCTCAAAGAACAATTTTTTTTTAAATTAAAGTAGAAACTGAATATTATAAAAATTATTAATTCAAATATTCTTACCAACACCACTATTGAGTTTAACAACAACTGGTCGACCAATAATTTGTTTAAGAAAATCACTAGGTGTTTGTTTTCTCGATGTCATTATCCTCTTGTTTGTTTATTTTTTCGAATCTACAACACGTGAAAACAAAGTTGTACTAAACAATTAATTTTTTTTTTCGTAACAAGAAGTTTCTATTTGTCGAAACAAATAATAACAAATCGGAAGTAAACAAAAACAAAAACAAAAACGAAGAACTTTAAGCAACTTCCATATTGTTAACTGCTTCTTCAAGTGTAGTTTTTCCATTTGTATGATTATCATCGAGTCCTGCTGCTGCTGCAGCTTCAGCTTCTTTACGATGTTTTTTCTCTTTTTTCTTTCGTTTTTTTTCTTTTGATAAAATTTGTTCACGTTCAGTTTCAGCTTCTTGTAAAGCTAATTGCATAACATCAACATTTTTAGCCGGTAATTCTCCACTATCATAAAATTTTAATCGATCTGATACTTGTTGTTTTAAACGATCACCAAATATAGAAGTTGGAATTTCTTTAAAATAGATATTATAAAAAGTACTATATTGAATTCAAAGAAAAAAATTAACAAACCAGAAAAACAATCAATTCTCGATGCAATAGCACATTTATTAGCAAGATAACGTGATATACGACCTTTATTTTGTGTACTTGCTTTGCCAATATGTGATGAATGATAAATGAGACCATATTTTGGTGTATTACCTTTGGTTTTTAATGCTCTATGAATTTTAAAAAATATTGTTGTTGGTTTTTTCTTGTTTAAGAAAATATAAATAACAATGTCTTACCGAAAGAGAGCTTTTTCAGCACCTAATATTTGAATTGTTGATGCTGGATATTTAGCCAAATTGGTTAAACTACCAGCATGAGCAATAAGACGAGCACCGACCTATGAATTATTTCAAACATTTATGATCTATAGAAAACTATCTCCTACTCTGAATAGCTTTTAGAATTTTATTATGAATTCTTAAGCGAAGGTGTATATAGATTCTTCGATCTTCATTAAAATCAACTATATGATATGAAAGGTGCTATCCGAAAATTCAACTAAATCTAAAAGAAATTAGTCTCATCTATCTATTGAGTCACGCAATACCATATTTTTCCATCGGTAGAAAATTGAAGTGGGGAAATAAATTCATTCCTTTTTTTCTTCATTTATTAGTATTTCGTATATTCTACACATTTATATTCGATAGAGTTCACCGCGTCGAATGTTTTTGAACCTGAGCCTAGACTTGGTTGACAGAAACATTTCTGACTTGAACAAGAACGTGTCCGAGGTCAACTCAGGGTACTCTACTGTTCGACAATTCTGTTGTTTACAAAACAAAGGATTCATTTTACTATCAAAATAGTGGCAGTAAATATTGAAATGATGGTTACTCAATAATTTTTGCATAAAATTTCAGAAAATACGAGTCGTGAGAATATAATATTTGGCACAACTTTTACACGGCCATAAAATATATCATTTCCAAGGAAAAAGTGTTGGCCCTAGATTCGGCACCATCTTGCCCACATCTCTGCTACAGTCCATCAAAAAGCCCAAATCTAATGAGTTTCAGTTTCAATCTCTGATTCATGAATTGATTATCCGTTTGGTTGTCAAAGACAAATATCTTAAAATATTTGTTGCACGACATTTTATTGATATAGCTCATAATCAATGGAATAAGTTTCAAATTCTATTCTTTGATTTGGACACATGTCTATTTTTCAACCCTTATCAGCCTTCATAATCTACATAATAAAGCTAACTATATCCAAGTTTCATATTTACCTGATCACCGATTAACACAGCTAAATTTGGTGCTACTTGTCCCATTTTACTTCGTAAATACTATAAAATCAAATTATAACAATTAACATTCGAAAACAACAAAAAGATAACTTTACTTCTTGTAAACTTTTACGATATTCAAATAAATGAATAACCCGATTAGCAAATGATTCAATATTAATAAGATCAATTGGTGAAATATCCATACCTGAAAAAGAAAAAACAAACAACTTATCTTTTTTTTTTTTTACCTCAAGAGAGAAAAACAAACCAATTGTTGTTTTCATTGCTTCAAAAATCGCTGCTGTTTTTCCACTATCCATTGTAATTGCTTCTAATTCTTCTTCACGATCATTTGAAAATTCTTTTCGATTTTTCATTAAATGAACAACACGTGAATATGTGTAATTATCAGGAACAATTCTAATTAATTCTGGAAAATGATAACCATACCATTCTCTAAAAAAAAAAAAAAAAAACAATTAAAAAATATAAACCATATTCTTACCGAATACGCATTGAAAATGTATTTATATCTTTGTCAAGTTGATCAAGCAAAGCAATTGATTGAATAATCATATTATCAACACGATTAACATTAAATTTAACTTTAGCACGTGAATATGCATGACCTAAACCAAGTTGAGCTTTATTTTGATTTTGATCTGTAAGACCTTTGACCAAATTTGGAAAATGAAGTCGAAGACCTTTAAATCAAAAATAAAATATTAAACAATCAAATTGCTTTTTCTTATGAAAATTTCACCTCGTAAAAGCTCAGGTATAACACCAGTATGTTGACATGTTATTGAAAAAAATTCATTGATAGCCGATGCAATACGAGGATCAGCAACACCAAGAATCATTTTTGCACGTTTTTTTTCTTTTGGTAAATTTGTATCAAGAAATGTTCGAAGATCATCATGAACCAAACCTAAATAAAAAGAAAATCTTTTTTTTTTAATATTAAAATTAAAAAAGAACTAACCTTCAGAAATTGCATTTATATTATCAAGTGCATTAATACCCGATTGAAATGGATAAAATGCAACAAGTTTAACAACCGTAGCAAATTTTGATAAATCAACTACACTTGCTTCGACTTGTGGTAAATTCATACCAATTTCTTCAAATTCACGAACACGAAATAATGCATAACCTGATGCATGTTCATAGAGTATATAAAGATTCGACTAATTCAATAAAAATTTAGAAATATTTTAAAAACAATGAGAATTTTAAAATTTTCATACCATTCTTTTGTTTTATCGATGCGCAAAGGTCAACAATAATTTGCGCAAGAACACAAATCTAAAAAAAAATAAGGAAACGATAGCATACGAAAATTTCGAACAACTAAAGAGGAAAAATTTATGTTTTATTAGTGGTTCAATATATGGTTTGTTGGTCAATAAATAAGAGGTACAAATCGAGATGTCGCTATTTATCAATATATTTATTTTTTTTAAATAATTGTAAGTTAATGTTCTTAATATAACAATACAAGATGAAAAAGAAAACTTGTGTTGTGTTTTTCAATAGAAAAACTCAATGTTGATAAATGAAGAAAAAGTTAATTTTGTTGATATGATTTAGTTGGATAACTAATGTACATTCGATTTTAGCCTGCGAACTGCTAAAAACTTTTGGAAGATGCATACAAGACTTAAATCGAGCGATCGGACTTTATGGATATTACGTATATTTTCAAAAGAAAATAGTGAATGTCAGTTTAAATCGTAGTTTTTTCGGCTCATCACGCAGGTTCTAACAACGGAAAACGATGCGTTAGTCATAACAGCGCTTATACTATCCTAGAAGTTTCTAGTGGAGCCCTATACGTATCAATAAAATGGAACTGAGAATCGAATTTGAACAGAAATTTTTCCGATTTCGTTTAGCCGGAATCGGAATCATGAAACAAAAGACGTTGGGACTGGAACTATTGAAACGAAAATATTTTACTGATAACTGGAGTCATATAGGATGTAGATTTGAGTGTGCGAGAGTAGATTGTCAACAACCATGTCCACACCTTTTTCACACTTTTGCTCTTTGCATTTTATCTTGCGAAGAAATTCTTTTTTTTTATTAAAATAATAAACATCAAGAAGTTCGAAAAAGGAAAGATAGAAACTCCTAAAAAACACTCTCATTAGTTATTTGATATAGAGTCAATAAATTACCAGTTTCATATACACCTTTTAGGAACCGAAATTGAAATCGCACTTTCGCATACTTTTTTTGAAACTGCAGGGATCCTATTTTCTAGAATCTTCCAAAGCGTTCTATGTATCTAAGATTTCTACTATAGATACTAACTAGTCTAAATATTGCCGGTTTTCGTATTTAATGCAGCAAAAATCAGTAGAAAGATGGTATTATTGATCTAGCAAGGTCAGAATAGAACAGAGAAAAAATTATGAACGAATTGAATTCTAAGTGTAGATAAAACTGAGCCGTACACATTAAAGTTAGTTGAGAGAAAGAATGGTGTACTTGAAAGCTCACTGAACGATAAAACAAATGAATATAGCAGGCTAAAATAGTGGTTGTACAGGGTGAGTAGAAATATTTTTCTGAGGACTGGAGAATATTTCCCAAAATCGAGAAACTGTTCTACTTACAGCGAAAACCATTTCTCCACACAAAGCCAAGCAGAAACGCTTTTCTTAACAAAACACAACTCATAACTGAGCATTTTCGATTAGTAATAAAAAAAAAACATTTCTACTCTGACATGGAGAAGTGTATAAGATATAATAGGAAATCCATCAAACTATACTCATAGTCTAAGGAGCAATGCTTAAGATTGTTTTCCAAAATAAGGTAAAGTTCTAGTGGAAATCGATTTTTTACAGAAGAAATGCTAGTTTGTTCAAGTGGAGATGAATAATCCATTGCTACCCTCATAAGCAGAATTGTATAGGATATAAATAGAAATCGATCAGATTATTCTCACAGTGCAAGAAGAAATGAATCAAATTATTTTCCAGTATATGCTTATATTTTTTTTTTTCGTTCTATTTCTTCTCGCTGATGTATTTCTAGAGGGGAAACGAAACGCAATAGATACATGTTTATATTCCTTTTTTTATCTCTCCTGGATATATTTGACTTTATTTAGGGTGAATCATTTCTTCTTAAACGGGAACAATTTCCCTATCGATTGGTTTAATGGTGCACTGCTGATTTTTCCAGGGATTAATGCTATGATTTCAAATAGCATTCATAACAAATTTCATATCAAATTAAAGTGGGTTGAAAATGAGATTCATCGATGCTAAATAGTGAAGGTTATGGCAACTGTGCAGTGTTGAATTCAGAAATTTCCTAGACTTTGATACTATTTTGACATCGAAAAATTACTTTCATGAGACAGCTTAAACTAGATCTTATTTAAAATGATGAATTACATAAAATACTTGACACCTAGCGCGGAATTATTGGAACAATAATCCAAAATGAAACAGAAAACAAAATGCTATCGGACGGAATCCAATCGTTACGATGAAGAAACTCTGAAAAATATATTTCAGATGCTTTGACAAACATGGAAACAAACATTGAATTATTTGAAACTATGACATGTTCGTATCCGTCTCATCTCCATTCTGTAAAGAAAGGTAATCGTTACCATACTGATCATGGGTCATATTTATCAAACCTTATGAGATAAATAGTAGTTTGTGTGATTCATCATTTTAAATGAGATCTAATTTGAACTGGCTCATGAAGATAATTTTGCGGTGTCAAACTCGAGAAAAGTCCTGAACTCTACACTGTAAAGTTGACATAACTTTTACTATTTAGCATCGATAAATCCCATTTTCACTGCGCTTTAATTTGGTATGAAATGGTTTATAGATGTTATTTGAAATCATAGCGTTACCACCTGGAAAAATATTTTTACTCATCTTGTACAAACGAAACAAAGAATAAAATGATATTTATCGCTTCTTATAACATATATCACATACATTATCATAAGAAGTAAACAAGTTATGTCTTGAAGATGTCTCTGACAATAAAAATAAGTTTTTTCAATACAATGATATTAAATAAATCTAATAAATTGATAGAATAGAAATTCTAAATGTAAACATTTTCTCAACAATAAAATGTCAGAGCAAATGTATCAACTGTAAAAATTTTTATCATTTCGATTTATTCATTTACTTGGCATTTTTTTTTAAATATATTATTTCAACCTCTCTGAAAGTATGTCATAAATTAATAATAGTAAGAGTTTGTGAGTTCTGCACTTTGGCTCATCAAGGCATCGCACGGACAACTTTTTCTAGTGGCAACTGAAATTGACCGTAACTACGTGGGATACGATACTACCAGTCGTCATCTATATTCTCTTTTTTTCTTTTGTATACATTTATTCACGTTTGAGATTTCTTTGTTTTCTATACTCTTGATCGCACATGTTTTATTTGAATGTTACTATTGGTTGTTCGCTAATTACAATACTTTATTTATTGTTCATCACACATATTTTTCTTCAGTGTTACATTTCTTCATTTTGATCATTTCATTTAATCTAATCACTTATCCGCATTTCTATCGTTCTCTGGCTCATAATATCTCTCATTTGAACTTCATATTTTCTTCTTGTTCATTATTTACTGAATACATTAGTTAATCTTTATTTACGCTTCAATTCATTATATTATTATTGCATTATCTGTCACATATCAGATCGAATTTAGGTGCGTTTTATGAAAGCGGTCGGGACAGATACAATCATCGTACTTTCATTGCCAAGTTTCTACCGTCTTCTATCAAGAATCAGCATTTTTTTGACTGTCTCTGGCCTGAAACCTATGAAACTAAAAGTCAAAATTATTGACCTGAGTGATTATCAAAAATTAGTGAAAAAAAAATTCGAAGAATTATGTTTATGTTTAATATAAGCTGACGCATGTGTTTGAACTGCACAAAAATGTTTTTATGTATTGTCTAAATCACTTCTTCGACAAATAGTTCTTTTAACATGTTACAAAAGTTTGTTTTTATCAGATCAATTCTAGCAATGTTGAATAAATCGTTGATTATATTTTCTAAAAAAAAAACAAGTGACGATAATTTTTGTTATTTGAGAAAGACGTATCGAATGATTGTTTTGCATACTTCATTCAATAAATATAAATAATACTTGATAAATATATAAATATATTCTAACTATTAAGAAGAGAAATCCATGAATGTTTGTTGTTTTTAAAGTAGATATTTTTTTATTAAGAGCAATCAGCAATAAATTTAGAAAACCTCGTAACACAAAGCTTGGATATTGAAAGATTTCATATCAACATGTAATTCGATGGTATAATTTTATTTTTCTGTGTTTTATGTTCTATACTTTACTATTCTCAAGTGAAATGTTGCTGTGCGTTTCTTTGTATACATGATAACAAATATTTTGATGCGTCTTTATATTGCTATAGCAAATAATATGTTGTCTAATGCATGTTTGAAAGATAATATTTGGAACTTTTGCTCTAAAATCTGAATTCCAATCGTAATAAAAAAAGCTCCGATCTTGATAATATCTTCTGATAGAAATGAATAACGAGCATTTTTTTAAAATTGCTGCATAACTTATTTTGTAAAGTACATGTCTGGTACTTTGTACTATGTCATGCACTATCGAATAATCAAAATATTTTTGTCTCACCAAACGCAAAAACTAATTGTGAATCACTATTCTTTTACGGTTCACAATAACGACCATACTTCTCGAACGTAGCAGCAAAAGAAATAAAGATAGCAAGAGGGGAAGCTTGAAGACAAAACTATTCAAGGCTGTATACACTAACGACAAAGGCCAAAATACGAAGAAAACAAGCTTGAAAACAAAAAAAATCTCCAAGTCGGTGCATGAGAACAAAAAGGGTCCAAATAGAAAGAAAAGAATCATGAAAACAAATAAGTCAAAGGTCGTGTGCAGAAACGAAATGGGCCAAACTAGCAAGAGAAGAAGTCTGAAAGCTATGGGGCAAAGCTCAGATCTACAAAGAAAAACAAACAGGATAATACGAACGCAATCAATCATGAGCATATTTTTTACTTTAGTATATTTTTTTCTTGGTATATAAATACGGGATATTGACATAGAATATAATCATATTTTGAATTTGCAGTGAACAACTTCGAAATGCATTTTTCTCGCACACTTCTTTTTTTCGGTCTCTTACTAATCGTCTTATCAGCAATGATACACACAAGTGATGCACTTGCTGAAGACGCTGCGGATGGACGAAGTTGCTCATCAAAAGATACAAAGAAAGATTGTTTCTGCACTGGTGGCTGCTGGCGAACGCAAACGGACTGTGGTTGCTCGAGTGCGGCATTAGTCGACGAAAGTGCATTAGCATCTGCAGCTAAATGACAATATGCAGTTTTCTATATAACAACGACAAATTCATACCATGCAATTGATGTTTTATTCTCAAATTTTTATCATTACTAATATTTATTCTATAGCTTAGATTCTGACTTTTATTTTTACTATCATTAACTGCTAGATTCAAACAGTTTTCTATCTTTCTCTTCATAATCTTTTTTACTTTTATTCTTCTGATGTGTTCAGTATGCACGATATTTGCATTGTTTGTGAAGACTAACTTTGTAATATTATCACTTACATACTGTATGCTGATCTTTCTATTTTTCTTTACCCATATTTGTTCAATTAATAAAGATTCAAAATACAAACAATTTTTTCTTAATCATTTCGCTATTCAACAAACTGAGAATGCCGACAAAGATTATAAGTCGATGTGAAGAACATTGAGCAGCTCTAACTTTTTACTCTACCAAAAAGCGAACACAAAATATTGATATTTTTAACGATCTAATAAGTCGCAGCAAAAAATGACTGGCTACTTGACTTTCATGATGTTTTTTTTTGTTTTTTGATTGCTGACATGACCTCAATAATTTCTATAAGAATTGAAATCACTTTTAAACTGTGAAATATTTACAATTGTAACTGTTAATCACAGCGAAGCCTCTGAAACTATTGGCAATGCACCAGATATAGTTTTGTTGGCGGTCTTAGAGACACTGCATGCAAACTGAAACTTTTATTTTTGAGAAGACTCTTCACATGGTTTGATCAATTGTTTATACATTATTCATTAGAGAATGCAATTCGAAACAAAATTGTATATAGAACTCCCAATTAAAACGAAAAGTCAGTTAGGAAAGTTTTAGTAGGCTTTCACTTGATATTCTACCCAAGGTACACCAAAGTAATATGGAAGATTGAGGCAATATTTTTTTCTGCAAAGCTATAAATGACTTTCCTGTCATAAATATTAGTTATTTAAAGAGTTATAAAGTTGTTAAATCAAAAGTTTCACCAAAAGCTGTGCAATGTCACTTTTTGAAGGGAATGCATCATACAAAATGTCAGAAAAATATCTCATAACGAACAATATGTATCGACATTCTCCACTATTGTGTCGAGAACCCATATGATTTTTCGACATTAATAGTCTATCGAAAAATGAACAACTATGGACCAATGATTATGAAAGAGTTTATTGTGTTAGTATTCTCAGTAGTATTTGCAACAAGCTGTGGCTTTCATATCATTCATCGAACGAAGAATTAGAAATTTAAACATAAATTTTATGTAGACGAAATTATGTATAAATGAAAACAAGCAATAAAAGACAAAGAAAGTAGTTTATTTTTGAAAGAAGTTAGATAAATGTAGGATTTTCAATCTTTTCAGATGTTTGTATCAAACGGTCATCTTCAGTATATGAAAAAACTCAAGTTTGTTTAACTGCTAATATATGTAGTAAGTTTAATTTATGATAACTTGAAAAAAAAACTAAACAGACTAAATTATGTAATAAATGACAAAAAGCAGTAAATGACAAGACAAATAGTTTATTTTTGAAAATATTATTTCTTATATCTATGTGTACTGAAGATGACCGTTTGATACAAACATCTGAAAAGGTCGAAAATTTTACATTTACGTAATTTCTATCAAAAAGAAACTATTTTCCTTGTCTTTTGCTGCTTCTTTTCATTTATGCATTATTTCGTCTATATATTTTTCTTAAGTTATTACAAAATAAGTTTCATGGTTGTGAATTTCTGATAACCTCTTCAGGTTATTTATCACATAACCGTTGCAACTTATGTAGCTGTCAATGACTTGTTGATTCAGATTACGGCATAATTCGATGAGACATAGTTGTGACTTTTATTGATACCAAACTTTGTCTACAAGATAAGTTTCAAAATCATGTCATACGTAAAAGAACTATTCTATCTGAATTTTATAATCTTTGTGGCAGCTTATATCTAAAGTACAATGCTCATAAACAAGATATATCCAATCATATTTTGTGTATCATCAAGGAGAGAATTGAGTCTGTCGACTTTTGTTTGAGAGTACAAAAAACATCAATGGTCAGAGTACTTTTGAATATCTAGTATATGATTATTATGAAGAGCTAAAATGTAAAACCAATCTATTGATGCTAATCTAAGACTACTTCTTCATTAAAAAGAAAATTATCAGAATTCTTTGTAAAGAATGTTGTGTCTCTTATTCAGAAACGGATACACACGAGACTTTTGTTTTGTACATCTCTGATAGTGAGCTGTGTGGATGTATTTTGGTATTTTGAATGGCGTCGATATAGCTGGCCGTACAGATCAACATAACATGAATGTTACTTCTAGTGTTAATGGATAGCGGTTTAAATACATTTTCTATATAAAATTATGGCGTCGATTTACTATTTTCTAGTTCTGAGCAGAACTATAGAAGATAAATTAACCCACATCTTCCTTAGTGTAGGCAATATGCTCTTGAAAACAGACTCCAAATAAGTTTTCGTGAAAGTTTCAATTTACTTATTTTACAGTTCTTGGTGACTAATATTTATGATAGGAAAATTTCTGGTAACTTTGCAAAATAAAAGTAACTAATCATCTTTCTATACCACGTCGATGAGATGTTTATTGAATATTAGATGAAGAGTATAATAACAGTTTTTCATTCAATTTTTCATCTAAAATCGAAAACATAGTTACAGTTTTGTTTAAAACTGCATTCTCTAGCGAGTGCATAGTATGTAATCAATGCTCAAGCCATGTGAACATTCGTCCGAAAGGTATAAATTTTCGTCTGTTATTACTGGTTTCAAGGTTGCATCAGACAATATCTGGTGAAGTCTGAAAGTGAGTGAAAATTTGATGGATCATTAATAGGAAATGTATAGGAGTGGTTCGAAACTTATCTTTGTGAGATTTTTCTATAATCCCACGATACAGTTTATCATAAAACGGAGGAAATCCTGCTGAAAGTAAACATTTGACTGCGAGTGACAGCAAGAATAACATATAGACAAAAAAACTAGACGAGAGAAAGAGCTAAAACTTCAAAATTATCTGTTTCTTTCAATGTAATTCAAATGTAATATATGCTATCAATAGAAAAATCTAGATAAATTCGATGATTTAAATAAATCCCAAAAGAATAAGTCCTAGTAATTCCTCTAATTGATTAGATTCACGAAAAGTGTTTTGTAATCAAGTGCTGCCACATCATTCTTGAAATAGGGCTCTCAATTTTTTTGCGTCTATGAGCAAGCAATATCCAAAACTAGAAGTTGTCTTTATAAAGCTTCAGTTTTTCACAGTATCTGTGAATAAATATATAGATATTGGGGACGGAAGATTATATGTAATAAGGTACAGGCAAAAGATGTAATTCTGAAATCTTAGCATCTTAACACTATGCTTTCTCTCATTGATGTTCAATACAATATCATTTGCTAAATTTACAGCACGATTATATCCCGCTCGACTCATTAATCAATTCATGATACGTACCTTGGATACAAATTTGAATATATGTGTGAGTGGAAACATTCTATTTGTTTTGTGTTTGGTTTTGGTGCTTATATTATATCTGAGTCTTTCAAATCCTAATGTATCCAAAAACAAAATAAATGAATGGAAAGATACGACTCACTTCAACCTTTTACTTTATTTCTACGCATTTATAGAGGATGTTTTATATTCTTCAATTAGTGCTTTTTTTTTAAATAGGATCTTCATTAAACAAAACGATGTGACCCATATACACTTTAGACAAATATTGTATTAGAGAAAGTGCATCAGTACGAAGAGTTGCTAGTTTTCGAAAAGTATTTCATCTTAAAAATGTCTCAAAAATTCTTTTTTCTACGGAACGAATTATTTTTCAGATTATAAGAAGCTCCATATATAAGAATCTAATTAGACTGCAGACTTGAAACATAATTTTCTCAAAAATGAAGAATAATGCAAGAACTAATCTTTCGTTCATTCATTGACTTTCGTAGAATATAAGATTTCGCTATATTTGAGTATATGTTGATCGTATTCCTATGCTAAAAAACTCTATAAGGTTATGTAAGAGAACTAATATCATTTCAATGCCTTGTACGGCAACCTTCATCAAAGTTCATATTTTATTTTTCATAGCGATTTCATCGAAACGATCGTAGATCATATTTGATAAATCAAATTTTCAAATTTACTTCGATAACTGCATATTTTTCTAATTGTTTTCCTAAATTTATCAATAGATGCCGCTATTATTCACTGAAATCGGAGGATATGATGCTCCGATAGTATTATTAAAGAACGAATCATTTTGTTCTGTTTGACATCATTTACCTCGTCATCGTCCGTTTTTGTCCATTTGTTTATCAAATATCTATTTGTGGTTTTTTGTTTCGTCTTACGTCTCTATCTAATTTGTTTTCTTTCTCTTGGCATCCCAAAATGACTCAACCCGTACCTCCAAGAGTAAGTTGATTTTTTTTGTTGTGTTTTGTCGCAATAAAATTATTTTCTTATTCATCTAGACATCTGCCCATAAACCATATCTCGATGCTATTCGTGCAACGCTTCAAGCAGCATTTTGTATTGAAAATTTTGAGTCACAAGTTGTCGAACGTCATAATAAACCGGAAGTTGAAGTCAAGTCTGTGTTTTGATTGTTTATTCGGAAAAAATATATTGATTTTTATTTTCAATTATTTAGATCTTCGAAACAATTATTACTTAATCCAGTTGTAATAAGTCGCAATCAAAATGAACGAATTCTTGTTGAAGGTTCAGTTAATTCCGTTCGAATCAGTATTGCTGTTAAACAAGTAAAATAATTATTTTGTTAATAATAAAGTTTTTTGTTGTTCTGCTTTTTTTTTTGCCAATAGGCAGATGATCTCGAGAAAATTTTATGTAAACGATTAATGCGTTTTATGATGCAACGTGCTGATGATTTTCATATACTTCGTCGAAAGCCAATTCCTGTATGTAAAAATAAAATTCTCTTGTTTTTTCTTTTATTAATTATTAAAAATGTTTATCTAGGAATATGATATAAGTTTTTTAATAACAAATTTTCATGCAGAAACAATGTATAAACATCGTTTAGTTGATTTTATAATTTATTTTCTTGAAGAAATTGATAAAGAAATTAGTGAAATGAAATTGGCTGTTAGCTCACGTGCACGAATGTGTGCTGAAGAATTTTTAAAAAAATTCAATTGATTTTTACTTCTTATGTACAATGTAGTACGAACGAATGTTTTTCTTTTCTTTTTGTTCTTATGTCTTGTTTGTATTCTTTGAAAAAACAATGTATATCGATTTTAAAGCAAACTTGTTCTTTCGTTTCTTTTTTTGCATATGAAATGACTCTATACTCGTTGATTAAACTTGCTTTTTTTTATTATTGCTTTTATTAAAAAATATATATACATATATACGTTTGTTAACATTCCTTATATGCATTTATGTTCAAGTTTTTCTAATCTAAAAATTTCAATTGATTATATATATTTAGAATGAGGACAGTGGCTATTGTTGTTTCGATATTACTTGTATTATTATTTGTTGTCTTGTCTATGTGGGAAGATAGCCTCTTCAAATTGCACCCATCATTGATGGCTGTTAGTGTGAGTTAATCTATTCACAATAGTGGAGAACGATTTGCATGAATAGTATATATATTTTAGTATCTTGGTTTCATGTTTCAAGCAATAAATATTTTTTCAACAGATGATACATCACGATCTCCATCATTACCACGACGAAAACAAATTTTTATTCATTCACTTTTACAACTTGGTACGATCATTTGTTCAATTATTGCTTTTACAGCAATCTATTTAAGAAAAGAGCAAGGAAACAGACCACATTTTACTAGCTGGTAAATACAAATGATATTTAGTGTATAGTATATTTTATTGTTTTCTACTATAGGCATGGTTTTATTGGACTTATTGCCTTTGTTTGGTCATTATTACAAGCCTTATGTGGTCTTTTTCTTACTATTTTTCAACGATATATTCGTTCAATAGGTTTAACTTATGCACAACTTCGCATGTATCATGCAACGTCAGGTGTAGTTCTTTTTACAGTATCTTGTTTCGTATTAGTACTTGGACTGGCATCAAATTGGTTTAAAAATAAAATGCCGAATAATACAATCCTATATTCTGTCATTTTTTATTTGCTTACTTCAAGTATGCTTTTTCTTGCTCATAAATGTGTAGAACAAGTAAAAAATCGTTATGTCAAAAGAAAGATTATGATAGAATAGTCTGATAGTCTTTGTTTTATGTGTGTGTGTTTATTTTGCATGTGCAATTAGTAAATTATGACAAACAACCAATAAAGCATTTACTAGCAAGTATAGCAGCATTTTAATTTCAGCTTTCATCTTAATACTATTTGATGCATAATATTTGATGATTTGAAGAAAAAGAAATTTTAAAATTTGCATTAGCACAAAGTGTTTTTCTTTTTTCACATTGTATCTAATATTCTTAAAAACAAGTTCATGTAGTTTAAATGATCAATCTCTTTTTGTTTTAATATTTTATTCTTTCAATATTTCATAAGTGTGTAAAAGAAAAACGATACAAATGATATTGCGTTATCAATGTATAATATATTATACTATCAAATTTGCAGATCTTCGAAATGAATAGTACACAATTATTTTTCCACATTCGACGTTTGTCTGTAATAATGACTAAATATCATGTCGATTGGAATTCTTCTCAACAATATTGTCTTCTTCATACAAGTTTACCACTGATGAATATGAAAAAATTAATTGATAACAAAGATTCAATTAAATCTGATGGATATGACGAATTACCTCATATGCGAATCAAAGCTAATGCGAGTACGGATGAAAAAGGTATGCATAGAAAAGAACAATTATAAGTTTGTCATTATATGTTTTGTTTATTTCATTTTTAATAATTTAATAGTAGAACTTATGAGTAGAATAATTAATATTAAATTACAATTTTGATGTAGCTTAATGAAACATTAGAAAAACTTGAGGAAAAAAAACCTATGATTCTTTTTTCTTAAATTTCATAGATCCGAACAAATATATGATGGATCATGAAATTTATTCGAACGAAGAAATCAATGCAGTTAAAATAACACACAAAAAATTTGAATCATGGCACGATCGACTTGCTTATGCAGCTGTACAAACATTACGTTTCTTTTTTGATACAATGACTGGTTATGTTCATGAATCTCCTCAATCAAAAACAAATATTGAAAATCAAAATCGTCGACCAAAAAAATCTATGACCGAAAAACAATGGTTGAGACGTATTATATTTTTAGAATCGATTGCCGGTGTACCAGGTATGGTTGCTGGCATGAATCGTCATATGAAATCACTTCGTAAGTTTTTCTTTATTATTCTTGATTTATTTTATTATCAATATTCAAAAGGTACAATGCAACGTGATTATGGATGGATTCATACGCTTTTATCTGAAGCAGAAAATGAACGTATGCATTTATTAACATTTTTAGAATTACGAAATCCTGGTTGGATTTTTCGTACATTTGTTCTATTGGGTCAAGGTATTTTTTTTAAGTAAGAATTCATTTTTAGTATTATTCTTTAAACTGATATTTTATTATTAAGTGGATTCTTTTTTACTTATCTTCTTTCACCGAAAATTTGTCATCGTTTTGTTGGTTTTCTTGAAGAAGAAGCTGTTATTACATATACTCGATGTATTGAAGAACTTGATGCTGGCAGATTACCTAAATGGTTGAAAACACCAGCACCACAAATTGCTAAAAATTACTGGAAATTATCAGATAATGCTATGATGAGAGATGTTTTATTAGCTGTACGTGCTGATGAAGCTACTCATCGACAGTATGTTAATTAAATTTTTCTGGTTAACCTATTGTATTTGATAAATTTGATATTTTAGAGTTAATCATAAATTAGCTGATATTGGATCTGATGCACCGAATCCATTTTTGTCTCGAACAAAAGGAGAACGAGAGCCATTTAGTGAACAAGAACAAAAGGACATTGATACGGCTGGCAAAAAATAAACTTTTCTGTAATATGAATTCCAGCGAGAATAGATAGTTTTTGTTAAATTGGAAGATAAAAGATCAGTAGTGCGATAGGTGTTTTTCTTCGTGTTATATTTATTGTTTTGATTTTGTTGTATTCTAACTTTCTACAGATAATCTTGCAAATGATATAAATTCTAATTTATTTTAATATACAAGCTATACACTGATTTTTATCTAGAATCTTCAATTTTATTCTTATGTTTAACTTTCGTCAATAATAACATGTCATCATAATTATAAACCATCATTTATGTATCATAGCTAAATGTCGTGTTGCATTTGCTTTCTCCATTTGCTGCATTATGACAGATGAAAAATATTCTATTCTCAAACACACTTTAACAGTATAAGTCAAATTGTGAATGCTGCTCATGCATCTTTGATAAGTATTTTTTTGTACTGACATTAAGGTTGAGTTTGTCCCAAAAAACAAACAAACTATTTTGCATATAATCGTCACCTTATTAAGCACGTAATATTCATTTTATTATCATTGATGTCATACATAGAGCCACGAAGGAATAATCATCTCTACTACAATGTAAGCGATCAAACAGTACATCCCAAATATTATATGAGGTTCATTCAGTAGATTTCATTTTCTGTCTCTCATCTCATTTAGGTAACCAAATCAACTCATTAGCTTTATTACTAAATCACCAATAAATAATAACAAACGTAATAGTTATATTACTAGCTAGCTAAGGTTGTATAATAAAAAAGCATCGCAAAATATTAGAATTATATGATGATAGTGTATCGTGTAAGTAAATGTATAGCTTTCATTTTTCTAAAGAAAATTGCGAAGCCTCTTCTTTGCTATGCCATCGAGAAATACCTATATTTAGCATCCAAATATAGTATATTTATCTTATGTAGAACTAATAAAAGTTTCATTTTCAAAGACTATTTCATATTTTTTCTCGTTCTATACATATTCTATGCGAGCAAGACACAAGGTCACGGATACTTGTACAACTTCTAATTAAGACGTGCAAGAAACTGTTGTAAATTCCAGTAAAAAAGTTAGCTAGGAAAGTGTCAAAGATTGAAATCAAAGTACAGATACTCAAGTAGGTACTGATATTTATGTTACAGATCAGTATTTACTTGATCTAGAATTAGTAATGAAAAACAAATTATTTGTGTTTTGGTTTACGTAAGAACATCAATAGAAGAAAACATTCGTGTAAGAAAAAAATTCATGAATAGAAAGCTATGCATTAAATCTACAGGTATTATACATATTAATTAATTTCATTTACTAATATTTCTCTATCAATTATTCCTTTTATTTCATGGTAAATGTATTCATACTATCAGGTTTATACTACATCATGATACATCAACATAAAGTTGTCACATGGAATACTTTTCTTCTCTACTAATATATGTCGCTGCCAACACGTGTGTATATACATATTTTACAATACATCGGAAAAGAGAAAGAGAATGTATCCAAACTCTACTTCTTCTTATTCGTGATAATCTCTGTAAATGATGCAAAAGATTGTCTTTGCGTTCTTTCTTCTTCAGATTCTTTTGCCAGTATATCGTATTAATCTTTAGCTATGTATGTGCTTAGAATAATAACGAAAGTGCGACCTGTTCTCATGTATCCTAAAAGTCATCAACGTCAAGATGTTGTTGAGCAAACGTCTACGCATCAGTATGAAACACTGAGCATATTTATAGACATCATGGTTATAATCCATACGAATGGCATACCTATTTACACGATTCGTATGAATATAGTGCAGGAAACATCGTAATACTAGACACATTGGCAATTATTTGTGATGACAGTTGTTCATTGGTTTGTCTTCGCGACATAATATCTTTAATTTTATACTATTTTCTCGAATAGAATGCTCAACTTACATTGCAGGAATTTTTTACCGAAGACATGGGGAAAACCAAAGAAGTATGCCGTTGCAATAATCTATTCGCCGATGTAAGTATTTCATGTTTACAGATCGTAATTCGTGTGATTCGAAATGATGTTAATTTTTTTAGTATTGTTACATACAACGACAGTTCAATTTTTTTTCTTCCAAAAAGCGAGAGAAAACATTTTAGAGAGAAATTTTGTGAATATCATGTAGCACGTCATTTTATATAACTGGTCATATGCATACTATTCCACAACTAGCATTTTACGTTGATTTACAAACAAGAGCGTTATGTACATATATTGATTGAAATGCCATTATTAATAGAAATATGCTTAAAAGTGTACTTGAAAATAATGCATGCCACTTTTTTCAACTCATCGTCGGATTTAAGAAGACAACTCAATCATTGTGAAGAAAAACTATTAACGCCCATTATTTAGAATGAAACTTATAAAATAATATTCAATACTCAGTATAAAAATGTAAATTAGATAATTTAAGTACCTGACAAAGTTCATAAGATTTCCAAAAATATACTTTAACTCGAATCACTTAATTATCAAGAATACATGCTTTTCTTAATCAACTAAAATATTCTAATCTCGATGCATGCATTATGCGAAAAACATGAAAGATAAATTACAGATACTCTGATCCTTCTGACATCGTGCATGATATCAAAAAAGATGAAATTAAATGACTACTTCTATGATACAGCATCATTACATTACCTCTTAATAAGTAAAATACTGCATTCATCAACAAGGCATAGTTCAACATAATTAACATAAAGCAATCATTTTAATATATAACTGTTGTCTTTGTTTATCTGTTGAAAGAAATCAATTAGTTCAAGATTATTTGAGTATGACTTTCATGCATATCAATGCACTCGGACACTATCACTATTACTTTGTTTTGAAATACATTTGTGTGTATATGAGCCAATTCACATAAGCCACGACCTACTGTCACAGAAGGCTGTTCAATCATAGTCTTATATTTGTATAATATCTATCGCATCTTGTAGAGCATATTTTTTTAGGTAGAGAACCAAGTTTTTAGTCCTTATTAAAAATGTTTTTGTGGAGTTTCATTGACTTTTTGAACAATTTTTTGTAAGATTTTTCGAAGTTTTTATAAGAAAACAATAGAAAAATCACATTCCTGATAGGTTTTCTCCCAACATATGGATGGGATGGCATTCAAACTTCTTTGTCAAGCACTACGAGGCCGAGGGCTATTGCAGGGTACAACCAAAAATTTGGGATCTCTGATTGAACAAAATCGGTCGTGGCTTACGTGAACTGACTCATATATATACATATACACTATGTCAAAAAATTATTTGGACACTTATTATACCGATATTGCGAAGCAGATTTCATAATCATAGAAAAAGATTTTATCAACATTCAATACAGCATTCGATAACCCCGCATCTGTACTTTATTGCACGAGTAAAAATATTTATTAGGAAAAGATCTTTGGTGGATTTTTTGGGATTTTTAGTAAAACCTTTGATTTTCTGCGCAAAAAAATTATTTGGACACTTTCATTATTCTCTTTCTAGAACACGAATTTTCATCAAAATTCTTTGAAAAATAGCTCATTCGATAGAGGAAATTGTTCTCTACCTGACTATGTCATTTTAAATTACAAATATCAAACCAGGTCCTTAGAAAACTCGAAATGTCTGGAGCACCATCGGTTTTACAAAAAAAACCATCAAATTTTCAGGTTTTGCGATATAAAAACTTGTGTGAAAATATATCATTCGATAGAGAAAATAAAACTGCATCTAATGATCTTAATTTCTTGCAAAATATGTGTTGAAAAGCTAAACTAAATTGCGAAATAAGATCAGGATTTTTCCTAGTCCTTTCATTAATCTTAATTTTTCAGCCACAAAATAAGCTCGAAAAAATTTTTTGAGAAAACATGGTCCTGGAGAATTAAATTCTCTTCAAAATGATGTATTTGAATTTAAGGTAAACATTTTCCTTCAAGTCGTTAAGGCCCTTTCTTTTCACACGCGCGTTGTTATAGAGAGAGAGAAATAAACAATTTCTTTTTCGTTCTGTTGCTACATATACGATACGAAAACAATAGGACTTAACGGCTATAGTAACTATGGTCCGTCTATTAATGATATTAATAGAATATACTAAAATTAAGTTATACAAATAATCAACAGATTATCACTTGTATCACAATTCTTTTTTTTTCTTATAATTCATAACTGAAATGCCAGAGGAACATGAGTTTAGTATAGATCTTCGAAAATTAGCGATAGAACGTTATTCTGATGGAAAATCGATCCGAACAATATCAAAAGATCTTAAATTATCACATTCTACGGTGCATTACATAATCAAAAAGTGGAACCGAACTGGATCAGTGATCAATCGGAATGGCCGAGGTAGAAAACGTTTGACTACAAGTCACATTAATCGAATCATTCATCGGCGAATGATCTCAAGTCGACGAAAGTCAGCAAGGGAAATGGCTGCTGAACTCAAGAGTGAATATGGAGTAACAATCAATGCTCAAACTATAAGAAATCGAAAGCACGAAGCAGGATATCGTGGATGTGTAGCGAGACGAAAGCCTCTTATAAAGAAATCAAGTCGATGGAGACGGGTAATATGGGCACGCAAGCATCAAATGAAGAACAAAGAGTTTTGGCATTCGATTCTCTGGTCCGATGAAAGCAAGTTCAACTTATTTGGATCTGATGGACGTCAAATCGTATGGAGGCAGCCCCAAGAATCAATGAAACGAGAGTGTTTGAAACCAACTGTGAAATATGGAGGTGGATCTGTGATGGTGTGGGGATGTATGGCGGCTAATGGTGTTGGTAATTTAGTGTTGATTGATGGGACAATGTATAAAGAACAATATGAAAAGATTTTCGTGGAAAACGTCAAACAATCAGCAAAGAAACTCAAAATACGATCCTTCATCTTCCAACAAGATAACGATCCAAAGCATACAGCCAGAACGGTAAGTAAATGGTTTGCCAACAATAAAATCAACGTTTTAGAATGGCTATCTCAATTACCCGATTTGAACCTA